GCATACTGATACAACTATCAGTGTTGGTACCTTGGCATACTGATACATACCATACCATACCATTTTATTTATAAAACACTTTAAACAGTGACAGGGCCAACCAAAGTGCTGTACAAACAGAAACAAACAGGCAAAGCACACAGCAACATATAACATATTGTAAAATCAAAATATAGAAACAAAATAATAGCACATAATAACATAATGATTAGCACAGTGTGATGCATACAAGATCAACACAAATCATACAGTGTTGAAAGCCAGAGAATAGTAGTGGGTTTTTAAGCGGGATTTAAAAACTGTGAGGGAGGGGGCCTGCCTGACAAGCAGAGGTAACTTATTCCAAAGTCTTGGGCCTGCGACAGAGAAGGCCCTGTCACCTATGCGCTTAAGACGGGTTCCTGGAACTGTGAGAAGCAACTGGTCCGCTGACCTCTGAGAATGCGGTGGGACATACGGCTGTAGCAGATCAGTGAGATAGGAGGGTGCAGAGCTGTTCAGTGATTTATAGACATACAAGAGTACAGGTGTCAGTATTGGTACCTTGGCATAACAATACAGGTGTTATCTGTATTGAGACACCACTACCAATTTATAATAAATATAAAGTTTGTCATTTAAAACTGTACAGTGCACCATGAAGAAATGAACGAAATTTTGTTTAATTTTTCCACAGCAGTGTAGGAGTACATACTTTACATTAATTTTATAGACTTTGGTGTTTAGAGCAGAAGATGCAATTCCTGTGTGGAAAGTAATGTTCTACCAATACCAGTAATGTTATACCGATGCAGTTGTCGGTATTGGTCTTGATATCAGCCTTAAATACTTGTAAAAAAAACCTTCCCAATACTCCGGAAAGTCGCGGTTCGACTCCCAGCCATTCCCACATGTCGTGGTGTGTGGGCGAGACACCCAATCCCCAATTGCTCCCCGGGCGCCTACAAGTTTAAGTCAACTTTATTGTCATTTCCATAACATGTGGTACATGAGGTGGAATGAAATTATGTACACAGGGTGCCAGTTAAACCCAAAAATAGCAAAATACAAAGTATAAAAGAAACAGTAAATAAGGATCCAAGATATACACCAAACAAATGCCAAACGGTACGCTAAAAGAGCCAAGATCACCAACAGTGTAAAACAATATGGCGTAACAACAGCAGCCTTATACATAGCTGCCCACTGCTCCACCTGGGTGTATCTCAGGTGTAATGGGTTAAATGCAGAGAACTAATTTTGCCAATGTATGGAAATATACAATGATATTCTCAGAATTCCCTTCCTTTCCCTTGTACTTGGTTCAAAAAAAAAAAAAAAAGAATTGGGACACCCATAAAAACCGATGATTTATTTTGACTATTTAGAATACAGTTTTTTCTGTGCTTGCACATTCTCTTCGTATGCAGTTTTCAATTTAAAATATACTTCTCAAAGATGAAGTTTTTTAATTTATTTTTGGTAGAGCCAGAAAAACAGAAAATGTATGTCGAAATGGGTTGGTGCTGGTGAACCCAGTGGTGCAGGCAGGCAAGCAAGGACTCAGAATGAAAATAGAATAACAAAATTATTTACAAAAACAAAAGAGCTGACAGGGCAGCAAAACAAACAGGGAATGATCAGGAGGTAGTCACAGAACATATAGGTCATCACCAGTGGACAGAAGACAATGCCAGGACAAGGAGTGAGACAAACAGACAGGCTTAAATATAGCAAACACCAATTAGACAAAGTCAAAACTCCTGTGAGTAATCACAGATGCCAAAGACAGAGATTGAGGATGCAAGACATAAACACAACACAAGATGGAGCCAAATACTAAAGAAACACAAACCCTATAAATATAGAAACAGAGGAGCAGGGGGATGCAGACATAAACACAACACCAGATGGGGCTAGACACCAGGGTCAAAAACCACAACTCCTACAATGTAGAGCTTTTCAGAAACAATGACGCAGCAGTCTGTTTCCACTTTGCATTCTCAAAACCCAAACAACAATGAAGCCGGTTTCTTTTAACCTCATCTGTCTCTTTAGACTTTAAACAAACTGGAAGGAAATTTTAAACAGTTCTATAAGAAAAACATATTTATCCAAGCTAACAAGGTTTATTCTCTGTATTTTAGGTAGACTGTGGCAGCCATCTTGAATTGGGTTAACTATAATTGGTAATAAGTTATACAGGTACATCCGATAATTGCTTTTTTGCAAATTTCATTAAATACTGTCCAGCGGTTCTAGAGATGTTTTGCTAACAAACAGGTACACAGGCAAAAACACCTCCTGCCGTTTCCCTCTGGCGGCTCAAAAAAAGTAGCTTCCATGTTCAAACGTTGCTTTTTCTCATCACGATTATACAAAGTAAGTCCCTGACTACACTTATATGGTTCACGACTGGATGGAGATGAGGAGAGGTTCAGGGGCTCAACTAAAAGAAGAAGGGGAGTTGAAGAACAGCTGCGCAGCATCAACACGTTGCAGGATGTAAACACAGAGTGAAAAATGTCAATAAGATGTAAACTTGACAAAAAGTTAATGATTCTCTGTCACGATGATGGATTTAATGGGGGAGGAAACTTATATAAGCATGAGTCCTGATGTTGGGAGTAAAGTTGAGAGGCAACAATGTGTGTGTGTGTGTGGGTGTGTGTGCAGGGCGGGGGTCTGCTCTCCACTTCCTGTGTTTGTACGCCGGTCCCCCTTATTGTTCACTCCTAATGACATCATCATCAGCAGGAAATGCACACGCCCCGACAGCCTCAACCCAAGAGCCAGCATTAAGTGTGCGTTTGCTTTTATCAGCGTGCATGCATCTGACTTTTTGCATATTAATCCAGGTGAGTGAGTAGCAGACGAAAGAAAATATTCGATTACTTCATCTGTGTGCGTGTTTGAGGCTCCAGACATGACGTGACGACTTGAACAGAAGGGAAATCAGTGTTTCTGTGTGTCCTGCAGACTCAAGACACTTTTACAAAAGTTAGCCCCGATGCGTTCTTGTGTGTGCTCGCGGTCTTTCTAAAAGTTCTTCTGTGCACAAAAGAGGGCGTGTTTTGGTGGGGAGGCGTATAAACAGAGAAGTAGTTCACTTCTGTAATCTGTCCGTGGATTGAAAATGATCCTTAATGGGAAAAATAATCAGACTTAATCTCACACTTTGTAGTTTTTCAACCTGTGTCTTCTCAACAAAAATATTCTCACTGGTTTCATGGTACAAGTTAGTCAAAGTACCATTTAGTTGGTATAGGTTAGTAAAAAATACACGCAAAAAATGGTATTCTTTGAACAGTGGACAACTGCAGCATGTTTGAAGATAATTAACTTTGAGAAATTACTTGCCCTGCAAAAACACTGTGTGCTAAATGACTGCTGAAATTAGTTGATGTTTGTTGAAGTGCACTAGCTAAAAGGAGCAAAGCACTTGTTAAAGGAAGAAAAATGCTAGCTAAAAGATAATAAAACACTGGCTAAAAGAAACAAAACAGTACAGTATATAAAAGCAGCTAAACATTAGCTAAAAGTAAAAAAAATCTAAATGCTAGCTAAAGGAAGCAAAAATGTTAACTAAAAACAGCAATCCATTGGTTAAAAGAAGCAAAACACTATTTAAAAACAGCAAAATACTAACTAAAAGCTAAAAGGAGTAGCTAAAGGTTAAAAGTTGCAAATGGCTAGCCCAAAGCTAAAAGTAAATGGTAGCTAAGAACTAAAATTAGCTTAAGAAGATCAAAACAGAACAAATATGCTATAAGGCAGCAGCTGAAATCGAGTTGTTAGAAGCACAACGTTAGTTAAAGCTAAAGTAGCAAAAGGTTTGCTAAAAGTAATAAAACTGTGGCTAAAAGTTGCAAAAGTCTAGCTAAAGCTAAAATTAGCATACAAATACAAAAATAAAGCCAGTGTGCTGAAACTTTTTTGCTCTGTTCAGGAGAACAATGTTTATAAAGGAAATGACATCATGCCATCTGTCAATCAATCCAGTAGGCGTGTCAGCAACTGACTTGTCCCAAAGTGAAACGCCCCTTACCTGCAGGAGCTCCTCCCCCTTTTCCTCCGACAACATTGTCGGGGTTTTGCATTACGAACGCTTTGCGGTCAGAGGGATTTTGTGAAAAATCATCAGAAAAAAATGTTTGAATGATGTCAGTGGGGAACATGCAATCCAGACAGTGTTACCCCGAGTGTTTAGACGACGTAATCCAGATTATTCCATTTCCAAAACCTAAACATAGAAATGGAAAAAATAGAAAAGATGGATAACAGCCGGAGGCCGACCTCATGATCAGCTGAATACAACAGTGATAAATGAGAACTACCACATGTTCATCTGTAGAAAGGAAACTGCAAGTAAATCTTCCATTTTTAGCCATAATTACATTGTATGCTTAAATGGTTAAATTAAATCTATTGTTTGTTTTGTGTGCGTTTTGTATGTAGATGTTGCAACTTCTGGTTGCATGAGTTTAATGTTTGTTTGCTATAACCAGTTAACACTAAAATGGTTTTGCACAAAGCATTTAATAGGTTGTGTAATGTAAAATGTACACTGAGTACATACTGAATTTCACCGTAAGGTAAAAATACTTCACCGAATGCTTCAGGTAGCGTCGTGAGCGTCACTATCTCTACCATTACATCTATGTTTGTATGTCGGAGGTTAGCTCACCCTGGATTTCATAATGTTAATTGAAGAAATAGTGTATTTCAGTACAACAATCATAAGTGACAGCACCCGTCTCCTGAATGAGCTGATCATTTTGATATGAGCGGCTAAAATAGCATAAAGTTTGCACACCTAGTAAGATGGCAAAAAACTTGTGAAACAAACGCAACGGGAAACAATGATGGAAATGCTGAATCGTCTATTAGTTTCAGAAATGCTGTCGAGGAAGCCTTCCCACACAAAAGCAGTTATTTTTGTTTAATTTAAGGAACAGCGCAAGCCTGACCTGAAAGCACAAGAGATGTGTAGGAGAGGTGTTTGTTCTCCGTGTCTGGATGTAATAGTCCTACCAGGTATGCAGCCTCTCTCATAAACTGCTTGGCAGGTTGTCTCCACACAGCAGGGACAGTAATCACCCATCTGATTTCCTCCCCCTCCAACACTGACGACGACTGGTCCTTCACCTCCTAAAACAGAACCTGGAGTCACCGCAACGCCTCGGTTCTTTGATCGTGGCGCCACGTTCGAGGCCTTACCTTCAGCGCGTGCTCTCTGAAGAAACGGAGGGCGTGAGCAAACACCTCGATCGCTCTCACCTTCCGACCATTAACTGCCTCCAGATCCGTCTCCATTGTCAGGTCCTGTAGCAAAAACGGTAACTTACATCGTGTGCCACCGTTGACCACAAACAGCCATAACTCTGCCATTTTCCCACCTAAGATGATATTTGTTCAAACTTTGGCATAAAAGACATGCGATATCCATTCTTTCAAGGCCTTTACGTCGAAAATGTTTCTTACACTTGTGCTGTGGATCTTCATTTTAAATTTATCAAAGTAAAGCCAGTGCTGGGCTTCCTCTGGATCCAAGTCGTGGTAGAAGTCTCTGGCTGCAAACCCAAAACTGTGGAACCTCAATTCGGGTGTCAGGAGCAGGCACGTTGGGCTCTTCTGATTGGCCACACCGGGGTCCCCACCCTCCCAGCGTCTGAAATGGTTTGGACACCCGCTTCGGATATTATCATCCATTAAATGGCCGTTATTAGTTATCATCCCCATACGTAGTGTTCAGACTGCCCCTCCTCTACCTCCTAGTAGGTTTTAAAGGTACGTTATAATCGCTGATAATACGGGCACATGGTTAAGTTTAGAGTCAGTGGTCTGGGTCAGGTGTAAGGTTAGGTTTAGGAAAAGGGTAACACAAATACACTTGCGATTTTACACGCGAGCCGCGATGCATATTATCAACCATAAAAACGTCACTTTAAACTTTCTAGGAGGTAGGAGGGAACAGTCTGAATTAGGGATACACAAGATTATCGGTATGGTATCGCTATCGGCCGATATTAGCGTTAAAGTTCAATAACGGACGTTCCATCAAAATAACTCACCGATATAAAAGGCGCTGTTTTTGTATGACAACCCAGTGACAAGGATGCCTGCAGCGCCAGCACAACGTGATGACGTCACGCGCGCCTACCTGATCTGATCACGGCGGAGAGGAAAAAGTAAAAACGCTGGCGTTGTAGGAGTTTTCTTTTAGTTGAGGATATCGGTTTCCGGAGATTTCTGGACTACGGTGAGCCTCGCTACATCATCCCCAGTCGGAGATATTTTTCCGACGTAGCCTTACCCGAGTCACAAGCCGTCATTTCTGACATAATTGAGAAGCGAATAGCCGATAGCACTTGGGTGAGTTTTACCACAGACATTTGGAAGTCATGTGTTAGCCCCGTTAGCAAGATTAATCTTACGGGACAATGATTAAACAAAAACTATGAACTTCATGCACAAGAGTGCAAAGGATCCCACACTGCGGCTAGGAACCCGGAACAAGCCTCCACAAGTGAGACAGCATCGCAGGTGACTGATGCTAATAAATAACATTTAACACGTTTCATTTAATATAAGTTAAAGTGCTATGCATATGGCTGTTACTGAATATATGTTACCAGCTCTTACAATTTTTATAGCAAATAAGCCTAAATAAGAGGGCTATGTTCTGACAAAGAAAAGTATGTTAAAAATATCGGTATCGGTTATTGGTCAAATAAGTTTTAACATATCGCCATATCGGATATCGGCCAAAAATCCAATATCGTGCATCCCTAGTCTGAACGCTACCTATGGGGATGATAACAATTAATAACTTCAATTTAATGGACTGATAACATCCAAAGCCATTGGTTTGGAAGGGTTTGGAAACAAACAAAACCGTGTGTAATGGAAAAAAAAAAAGGAATCGGAGTCTTACTTCATCATGTGTATGGCTTCGGAGTCCTCCGTGAAGCTGAATGCGTAGCCACTGGAGGTTGTCCCAAAGTCTATTGCCACAACAACGGAAAATGGACAGGCCATCCTGGGTCTGACCTCCACCCTCTGTGAAAGAAATAAAATAAGATTTTGCATACAATCGCACAACACTTTGGTTTATGAGCAAATATTTTGAACGCATATAGTACAGACATGCGTCTCGCAACCTTTCAACATTTCCTATAGGAAACATTAAATTGGGCTTATGTTGTTTATTTTAGTCCTTATCTGCACAGCTGATCTTCCATTTGTAAGGTATATTTATTGTCTTACTATTAGCAGATTTACACATACCTGCAGACTGTTTCTTATAATATGGCACTCTTTTGCCTGTGCTTAATGCAAATCAAACTGGCTCAATTATTTGTTGGCCACTTTGTTTCTCCCCAGAAACCCAAACAACAATGGAGCCGTTTTCAGTTTTGTGTGTGGATCATGTCTCGTTTTATCTTGACCCTGTTGCTTTGAGATTTTCATCATGTAATGAATTGTTAACAACAAAAAGAAAACCGTATTAAAAAAAAAGAATTTAAGGAGAATTTCTACCTAAGTCATTATTGTTTTTTCTCGCTTTACACCAACTAGCAACCCCAGTAACTAAAATAGCATATACCAGTGATCTTCCTAACCAACATCTAAAGTAAAATTTTATAAAGATATTATAACAGGTCTGTCTTCAGAAATAATCCTTTTTATTTCTAATCCTAACTGTCTTTGAAATTGACCATTTGTCTTTGCAAGCTGCTCTAACAGTGGGAAATCCCTTCATATAATGTTTGGCATCATTGTGAAGCTTAGCCATCCCCCTTTTGAAATATAAGAGTGGAATTACCTATGACATCTTGCCGGACCAATGAAAATTGAGTTTTTAAACCAGCCCTTGCATAAACAAAACTAGCTTGTTGCTACCCAGATGATAAATCACCTAAGTTATATATACCGTATTTTTTGGATTATAAGGCACACTTAAAATCCTTTAATTTTCTCAAAAAATGACCGTAAGCCTTATGTATTAACTCTCGTTGTGCTTAATGACCTCAAACTGATTTTAAGTGGTTATTGTGAATGAGTTGAATCAAGTTTGACTTGTCTGCTTGTTTTGCTTAATGCACCTTATAATCCTCCTTATAGTCAAAAAATGGTATATATATATATATATATATATATATATAATTATATATCATTTTTAAGCTTTTGAGCTGGATAATTTAACAATAGGCTACTATTAACTAAATATTGAAAAGTCCTCATTGTGACTCATTTTTCCAGCACGGATCACATGAAAACAGAAAAATTATTAGTTTCTAATAATATCTGAAATACTGAAGATGTGAACTTTAACATGCTAAATGGGTGAATTATGGAAGTTAAAACCGTATATTGTAAAAAAAAAAAAAAAAAAACTTACATCCATGGGGTTAATTAATTCATGACGGCTAAAGTGAGAATGTTTGTGTTTTAGCTCGTTGTTGCTTTAGCACAATGTAGCTACTGTTAGCATGTTTGTAGCTACAAAGTAGAGTGCCTAAAACAATTTGTTCACATTTCTAAACATTGTAAAGTGAACAAAGTATTGTGAGTGATTATTTCCATATATAAAAACAGAAAGAAATTATGTGTGACACTGTTTTATTTATGCAAGGGGAAGAACTAGCGGCTCAGCAACAACTTGTCCACTCTGCATTTTCGGCTGCAGGCTAGTTATTCATTTGAGGCGTATTTCTGACGGTAGGCTGTATTTAAAGTCTTATTACAAACCACTAATGACAGCTGGAAGCTCTATATAAAGGTAATAAGCAGAAAGTGGACTGAGGGAGTGTCTGTGGTGGCGTTAAAATCACCGGTGAAGGCGAGGGTGTGAGCGGCGTGATGCTGCAGTCACTTCTGGCTGTGGCAGGCGAGGACGGCGTGGATCCATTTTCACCTGAAAATGCAAAAAAAAAAGGGTAAAAAGGTAAGAAATAAGGGTAGAATAACACCAAAATGATCAGAAATGCCAAAATGTGTCCCAACTGACATCAATGATGAGGGAAAAAAAGCGTTTTCAAGTAATTGTGGTAAAAAAAACACAGTTTCCTCCAGCTGGGATTGTGTTTGTAATAAACAGGAATCTAAATGAGTTATGTTCCCAAGTGGGAGAGGAGCATGCAGAGGTCAGCAGCATGCTCTCGCTACAAAGATAAGGAAAGAGAAGGGAGTTATTCGGACCAGGTTGCTACAGTTTATGTATTGGTGCGTGCATTACCTGGTATCTGCAGGTTTTTAGGCTCAGGCTGCACCTCGTCAGCCATCTTTACCGGAGCCAGGGTCTGCAGAGGAATCACACTTTCACATCAAAAACTGCACACACTGCGCTGAAAAACACAGCTTTGTGCCTCAAACCTGAACAGCATAGCTGTGATGCGTTTTTTATCAGCTGAAATCGACTACAAATTCACAGCTGTTGGACGTAAGGGCGCGGCGGGTGCTGCAGCACCCACTGACGAAAGCTGGAGGGCATGCATGCCCAACACATTTTAAAGTATTCAAGCAAAAAATGAAAGAAAGCAGATTTAATTGGAGCTGTGTATGTTTAAATTACAATATTTACAATATTAAGAGACAGTCCAACTGAATGAAACGCGTGATCTCACAATGTTGGCTGAAATCACACACATTATTTTTAGGATTTGACTAAAACAGCTATACCTTTGTCATTTCTCAGCACAAGATGTTCTTCTTTTAACCATCACAAATTTAAATAGAGGAATTGCATTTCTTGCTAAATGCTGTGTGAATGCTTATTGCAAAAGAACTTGCTGAAAAATTGCTTAAATTAACTAAAAACACGCTGAAATGTAGCTGAAATAGCAGAACAAGCTTAAATTAGCAGAAGAAAGCAGAAAGAACTTTGCTGAAATAGGTTTAAATAAGCAGAAATTAGAACAAAATGTAGGAAATTAGCTTAAAAAAATCTGAAATTAGCAAAAAAATAGCTGAAAGGTAGCTGAAAATGCATAAAGAAGTTTAAACTACCAAAAGGAAGTGGAAAGAGCTGAAATGAGCTAAACATTTGGAATTAGTTGAAAAGGCTAACATTAACATAAAAACAGCTAAATAGTAGCTGAAAGAGCGGGAAAAAATGAAACTAGCAGGAAAAAAGCTGAAAGGAGCACTACAAGCTGAAATTAGCAGAAAGACATTAAATAGGCTGAAAATGACCAATACTTGAATTTATCTGAAAACAGCCAAAATTAGCTAAAAAGTAGCTGAAAAGGTAAAATAAGGTTAAATTAGCAGAAAAAAAGCAGAAAGAATACGTTTGTCCAAATAGATTGAAGGAAGCCAAAATGAGCACAAAAAAGTGGAAATTTTCAGGAAAAGAAATGAAATTAGTAACAACGAAAGAAAAAAAAGCTGAAAAGTAGCTAAAAAGGCAGAAAGAAGATAAAATTACAAGGATAGAGAACATTTTTGCTCAACTAGGCTTAAAAAAGTTGAAATTGGTGCATAAAATGTGGAATTAGCTGAAAAAGCTTAAATTTGCATAAGCTATAAAGAAGTTGAAATAGTAGAAAAAGCTGAAACTTTCAGAAATAAGCTGAAAGGAGCAGAACAAGCTGAAATTTTCAGAAAGGAGTTTGAAGAAGCTCAAAAATGTTGTAGTTAGCAGAAAGGATCTGATAGGAGCACAAAACAGCTGAAAAACAGCTGAAAGTAGCTGAAAAAAGTTTGAATTTGCACAAAGAAGCTGAAAGAAGCTGAAGCAGATCAAAATGTGAAAGGAGCAGTAAAAGGTTGTAAACAGAGCAAAAGATTTTAAGGAGGTAAAATGAGCTCAATTCATTTTCTACGAGAAAAAAGTGGCAAAAAAGGCTAAAAATATTTCAAAAAGCTAAAGTTGCACCAATACTAAACGTCGTAGCAGGATTGTCCTGAAAGAGCTGAATGTTTTGATTTATGATTTGCTGAAACAGCTTGAAAACTGCGGGACGAGAAATGCAGTGGAAAACGTCTGGAAGAAAAACGGCTCATGGTGAGAATGCTTCATAAACATTCACACAATTAATCCACTGCTTGAAAACCAAACAAAGGTGAACAGATCAGCTGTGATTGTAGTTTTACCGATGACTGTCCAAAAATATTCAGCACATTTTAAACATCTGTATTCAGAGACAGTCAGAGTGCATTTCACTGCAAATAAGTAGTTTGTATAAGTGTTTAGAGCCAAACACATCACAACCCCCAACTGAAACCCTTGGCCATGTCCCCAATTCTCTCAAGTGGAAAAAATATGAATAGAAACATCGTTTTATGCTTAAAATTCATACCGGTAAATATTTTCCATTGATTGGGTATTTCAAATGTTTTGGACTGTTTCTAATGTTTTAAAACAGCCGACGGGTCCTGGATCTTTGTGCGTTCAGGGTTTTAAGCAACAGGTGCAATGAAACAAATCTGTCTCTTCTCACGCAACACGAGGGGCTCACTTGTGAATAAAAGAAGCAAAAGTCACTTTGACGTGTTTTATTGTGCACTCACTTGTGCACAAACGGTTAAAGCTTGCATTTATTCATGAAGCACACATCAGCTTTCCTGTCCAGCTGTTTGATGATCAAACCAGAGACAAACTGAGACTTCTTCTTCTCATCCCTCATCAATCTTTGCAAACTCAATGTGCTGTGGGTGATTTATACGTCTGAGCCTTTCTGCTCTTTACTTCTGACATAGATCTCTGTCTGAGTTTTATGAAAAATGTGTTTTTTTGTGCATTTTAACAGAACAAGTGTTGCAAAACACAACAAATATAACGTTTAAATTGCTTTTCCTTTTACCTAAAAGGACAAGAATTATTTTATTTCTCTGCAAACTAATGAACCATTGAGTCTTTGCTGCCAATCACGCAATCATTAGTCCGAGTTTACTCACCACTTGAAGCTTTTTGACTGAAAGGAGAAGAATTCCCAAACGATGGAAGTCTGCAAACTCCGAATCAGCCTCCAGGGAGAAAGAGGAGGGAGAGAAGGAAAACTGTTGCTGCTGGATACAAGAGGATGCTTCTCTACATAAAACCCTGCAAAAATGTTTTAAAAAAAAACAAGCTTCCTAGCTGCTGTGCAAAGTTTCCCGTAACCAGAATGCACAAACCTGCAGAGACATAAAGAAAAAAAAAAAAACTGCAAGAAAAAAGTTCTTTTCTTTTGTTTTATTCTCCCAGTGGAGTTCTGATTGTCTCTCTGCAGCCGAACGTTTCGTCTTTCTGCTTTGCAAATGAATGTCAGAGGGAAAAGTGGTGACTCACACACACTCACACACACACACACACACTGTACTGCAGGAGTGGGAGGGTTGTGACAGCACATGAGTGTGTGTGTGTGTGTGGGGGGGGATTTACCTCGCTGGGATCAAGCTGAGGGTGGAGTAATTTACTGTTTTACCCTGATTGAGTCACGCTGCCCTCCTGCTTTCCTCCTCCACATCCACCAGTTTAAATGGGGACTGCCCAGTATAAGGCAGCACCTATTATTATCCACCTGACAAGGGTTTCTTAACTTTATACCTTACTCTTCCGTCAACTTGAACGCAGCCCAAACCTCAATGTGTACCCCGACAAATCTTAGATCAAAAGCACCGGCTCAATACCGTGATGTGTGCGATCACGTTTATTGGTGTTTCGAGTTACCACGGCAACGTCATTTGCCATTTCTATTAGTAATTTTTTTGTATTTTTCATAGACTCTGGTTGCAAATCAAATAACCAAGATGGGCACCTGGGCTCAAAAGGAAAATGAACTGTAAATCAGCCACGTTTAGAGACGTCGAGCTGAAATTTGGTGAGGTGGAAGCTGAGAGCAATAAATAACAAATTTAAAAAAATTCAAGATGGCCACCAAAGCTCAATTTAAATGGTTGTAACTCAGCTATTTTTACACATATTGAGATGAAATTTGGTGTCGTTAGATGAGAACGTTACCCAACACATACTGAATCGAAATCAAAAATCCAAGATGGCCACCATAGCTTAACTGAAAAAAAAGTCTATAACGCTTTGATTTTTTTTGTTTGTTGCCATTTTAAGCTGAAATTTAGTATAGTGGTAGCAGAGGGCAAACACGAACACGTACTGTCAAATCTAAATTTTAAATGGCCGCCCCGTGGCAGTCCCCGTCAAAGTTTCTCCAGGAACTTTCGCTAGCTCTTCCCGTCTTCACCTCTCCTCCTCTTCTTTATTAATAAATCTTACTCACTTTTCTCTCCGTCATCCTTCGTGTGTTTACGTTGCATTTTCTCCTCGTTGCAGACGAAAGGTGCGTTAGACCAAACTGAGCATAACGATGAACTTACCTCCGCTGCTCTTTTCATAGAATAGTCTTCTGAGTGATTTACAGAAGGCAACAACACACGTGTCAGTACCAACGTGTAAATGGAAACAGAAAACAGGTGACGAGACATTTGTGCTTAATTTCTTGACATATATCAGCGTTATAACTAAACCATGAACCTTGTGAAGCTAAGTAAGATCAAACTTTATTGGCAAAACTTCCAGCAAGACATTTTGTGCTTCAAAATATTACAGCTGATTTTTTTGTCCCTTTTTAACTCCTTAGTTTAGATTTTTACAAATAAGCTTATGTGGAATAGTCTTTGTCAGTGCAATAATCAGTATCTTACCTGCAACAGACAGAGAGAGAGAGCGAGAGAGAAAGAAAACACTGTTGAATAAACATCTTCCTTTATAAAAACTTTTAAAGTCACACTGAAACAGAGAAAATGATCCTAAATGATGTAATGACTACGCCGAGCCTGCATGTGGCGCTGTCAGGAAAATACACCAAAAACAGGAAACAAGGCGTAAACACAAGGCAAAAGGACAAGAATGGTAAAATAAGCTGAATTATTTCTATGGACTGACAACACATTTATTCTGTTTTGTGTCACATTAAACCACAAGACAACAAAGTGCAGGACAGTGGTGACTGGGAGTCGTCTCAGTTCAAATATATGGACATACTGGACATTTGTCCCTCGTTAGAGACATACCGTATTTTAGGTGGACTTCAAATCCTTTAAATTTCTCAAAAATCGAGAGTGAGCCTTATAATCCGAAACATCCGATAATAAACGAGAAACGACTGGAGGGAAGCATTTTCTTCACAATGTTCAAAGGATAAACTTCCCATGAGGTTTCTTATTTTCAGCAACATGTGCTTGAGTTTTGTTGACAGTTCAGTAAAATAATAAAACCTTTTTGGTTTTAGAGTAACTGGTGTAGTAATATGAACTTATTGGGACTATGTTGTCATTCATGAACCTTGTTTGTTTGCCCATTGAAGTTTCAAGGAACTTTAAATTAATGTTTGCTGTAGGTGAACAAACTGCCATCTGTGACACAAACACAAGCATCTAGTCCAGCGCTACTCAACTGGTGGCCCGGGGGCCAAATCAGGCCCACAGGTGTGCTCAGTTTGGCCCAACAATGGGTCCATTTTTAAACTAAACTAGATTTTAAATCATAAAACAGCCTTACTTAATGGGAATTACAGCGGGATATCCGGCCCCTAAACTCTTAGCTTTCAGTAACTGTACCCCCCCACCCCCGAGCAATTTAGTTGAACAGCCCTGATCTAGTCTATTATTGTTGTTACATCTGTCTTGCTTGGGGTCGTAAGTTAGAGGTGGGGCTATGACATCATCATTTTCAAAAGGTTCCGTATTTGCTGTCCACATGAACACACAGTTTCAACTAGTTCCCCCCCCCCCCCCCCCCAGTCTAAAAGTTTCATTTGGGGGCTTGTTATTTACCATTTTCATGTGGACACATGCTGACATAATAAAAAACACTTGTGTTCCCATGTAGACCAGAATAAACACTGAAGCCTCTTTTTTTTTTACTACTTCCTGTTTGCATGGCAGACTCTTGTGGCTGGTTTGGTGTGAAGTGATTGTGTTGACTTACAGTGACTTTTAGGCCGAAGGAGGGTTCTATCACTACAAGATCATTCTGACAAATCTGCTGCAGGTAAGATACTGATGACTCATGATCCCATTAAGAAAAAAATCCAAACTTTTCTCTTAAGCAAAGAAACTTGGGATTGTTTCACTGGAAATCACGGCGTTTCTCTTCTGACTTTTGTTTTCTTATGTCCATGTGTGTGTTTGTGTTAGATCTTGAGGCCCTCTCCGAGACTGCGGGGATCTGATTTCTCTCCACTGGAGCTGTGATTGAAAGCATACATTAACCCCCAGCGCTCACACACACACAGAGTGGGACGAACTCACCCCACTCACATGGACAGAGGAAGCCAGGCCTCTTGAGTATGTGACAGAAAATGCCTCAGGTACACACACATGTTCACGTACACTTCGAGTCCTGTCAGATTTCCAAATCGAATTAGTGTGTGTGTGTCTGGAAGCCATTACCTGGCACAGTGATGACCAAAAACCAAGGGGCCCCTTACAGATCCTGCCATCACCTCCTTTTTTCTCCTCTTATTGCCTCCTTTATAGCTCCCATGCATCTGTCTTTTGCCACTTGTGTGCTAACATTTATTACTTTGTCACATTTTTAGGACTTTGACTCTATTAATTCCTGGCGTGGACCCATTGGTGCAGGTCCTCCGTCGGGGACGCCCTTCTTCGTTCAGACGCAGGAAACTCGGCGCAGGAAGAGCGGGTCAGGTGACAGGAAAGAACCCCCTGTTGCTACATTCCTTTCATGAATTCAACTTTATCTCTGGGACCCTGGAAGTCCTCGAGCAACGGAAACACACCCATTACGTACGACACACAAGCATGCGTGCAAACGCGCACATTTCCCCGCCGCTCCTTTAAATAGTCCAAAATGTCAACAGAAGCCTGAATGAGAACGTCCCAGGATGGCCCCACTGCTGATACGAGCCACAAACCGTTCTCTCATGATCAAATGGTTTTTAATTGGATTTAGATGGTTGGAAATGTACGCTTTAGTGGATTAAAACCGTGCTCTCTTCATATTTTCTGCTTTATTTAGAAACGTGTGTGCTTATGAAATCAGCATCTTCCTCCTCCACCAGTTTTCTGGAGTGTAAAATCTACTGGAAATATCCTTTCTGCATACTTCTCACAACCAGTTTTTACATTTATGTAGCCCCGTATCGTGATGCTTCCACCACAGGACCCAGTAAAGAAAAAAACAACAAAGAAATCTTATCATACTTTAGTTTAATTTGCTTTGTTGCAAAACAGCAACATTTTTTCCCCTTTTGGTTACAACTAAAACATCCACCTTTGACGACCGTATTTTCCGCCGTATAAGTCACAAATTTTTGCATACATTTGCAAGTCCTGCAACTTATACACCAAAGCGACTGATATACATTTTTACCCGTATTTATAATCCAATTTTTGGCTGAGATTTGACGATTTCATTCATTCCAGCATGGAAAATATTGAACACTACCATTTCCAGCCACTGGGGGTCCTCGACTAATATGGCAAGTGTCTCACTAATAGGTAAAAGTGGCTATTAATGAGACACTTGGCTTGCCATACAAACCACCTTCGTCTCGCTTCAGAACTCCTGGAACAAACGTTAAATCAGCTGCATTTCGCCGCGCCGTCCAGGCGAAATTCAGTTGATTTGACCATTAAAGTGCATTTATTAAAGAAAAGTTCAACTGAGACACACCTTTACTATAATGTTGAGCAAACAAATAATTGTTTTTAGGTGGTTATCTTGTTAAATTCTTGTTAAAGTCCTCCTGTGCACGTTCCCGCCATTTGGCAGCCAATTGATTTTTTGGCACAACACCGGCCCACGTTTCCAGGTGGTCAGCGGTGACGCATAATAGATGCGACTTATACGGCGAAGCGACTTATTTATGTTTGTTTCCACTTTATTGGACATTTTTGGACTTATATGGCGGTGCAACGTGTACGGCGGAAAGTACGGTATTAGTTTTGCTTCTATAAATTGTTACAAATCAATTATTTTGTGATTTTATC